AATATTCTATCCCAACCTGAACATCCCAATAAGCTGTGCTTACTCGATAATGAGTGTAACACATTATTTGAAACAACACGTCCATCCTGTGTTCCTACTTTTCCTTTAAGAGTTCGCCCTGTCATTGAGGAACTTTCCCTCTCTGATATGTGCCCTCAAGCAGTACAGAATTTTGAAATTCCACCTTGGGAAAATGCACGTATCCAGCTTCTCGATATTTTCAAACATCACGTAAAGGCGAGCACTAACGAGATCGTTTACAGACAACTCTTCGCTGAGCACAGGCACAAATATAGCAGTTATCATCCGATATACACAGATGGATCAAAGTCAAATGATCATGTCGGGATGGCTTTTGTATTTCAAGATTACATTGAGGGCCGATGCCTGCACCATGCTTTCTCAGTCCTAACATCTGAACTAACTGCAATATATTACGGTCTTTTGTACATCTCAAAGCTCTGCCACAAAAAGTTCATAGTTTATACAGACTCGTATAGTGCTCTTAAATCCTTGGAAGCTTTCCCCAACACGCAGAATCCTGTGGTAGTGGATGTTCTCAAAATTCATAGAAATTTTAACAATTCGAGGATATGAAGTTCTGTACTGCTGGGTTCCTGGACATGCAGGAATAAAGGGAAATGAGCTTGCAGACATCGCAGCCAAATATGCTGTTGAACCGTCCAGTCGCCTTATTCCTTTTAGAGACATCTGCTGTGTAATCAAGGGGAAGATGCGGAAAAAATGGCAGCAAATTTGGGATGGTTCAGCATCAAAACAAGTTGAGAAACGTCAAGCCTAGAATTGAGCATTGGGATTTTGCTGGAAATCGTAAGGATGACGTTCTTTTGACTCGCCTCAGAATTGGTCACACTAGAGTCACACATAACTATCTTCTCAAAGCTGAAAATGAGCCTGTGTGTTTTAATTGTAATGTTTGTTTATCTGTTCGTCATATTTTAATTGAGTGTCCATGTTTTAATGGTCTTCGCCAGAAATATTTTAATAGCTGTGACTTACCTCTCGACCATTTAATCGGAAGAGAGGTCAATTGTAATTTATTTTATTATTTAAAAGAAACCGGCTTTTATTACCAAATGTAATTTGTTTTGAAAACTCTGTCTTGAATTTTAATATGTGCTTTTAACTTGTGTTTATATGACTTCATCCTCTGGATTTGGTAAATTTATCTACTTGTTTTTATTTATTGAATTTTAATGTCATCAATTGTAATCATCCCACCTTGTGTTTGGCGCGTCATAATCATCTCTGGTTTTGCGCCATAATCACTCACTCACTCACTCACTCTTTCCACAATGTGGGAGTGATTGTATCCGCTGTTGACCTGAATCACTCTCCAGTGTGAACCTGGACTCGTCTGTGGAGAGATACCCATTGTTTACTGGTCCAGGAGACATGTCCCTAAATAAACGAGCACCTCTGTGCCTTGGGTCAAGGGGACTGAAACAGCTGTTTGTCTTACATACAGGCCTGTATTGTGCAAGTGTCTGTGCACTGTAGTAGCTGAGATTCTTATTCCTGTTGCCACTAAGTGATCTTCCATGAGCTGAGGCACAGTAATGTTGCTCCTCCTTCAGTCTGAAAGAGCTAAATAATGGTCTCTCGTAGGTGTTGTAACTCTTGGTCTGCCCTTCTATTCTCGGATTAAAACCAATTCCATAATCGATGGACCACATGATGAGAGACATTCAGACGTCTAGCAGCATCAGCTTGTAATATCCCAATTTCCATCCACCTGATCATTCACCACCTCAGCAAATCAGCAAACAACTTCTCCTGGACCTGGATATAGTCCAAGAAATTGCTGATTACAATTGAAGATCAACACCCGTGAATAAAACTTACAATGTTTGCATTTTTTCTCAATCTCTTATGTAAATATTCATTTCTATAAAATAAAAGTGGTAGCTATTGTTTCCGCCTACATGTTCTTGAACTTCATTACTATCATGTATATAAACTGTGAATTTAAATGTTACTGACATTTTTGTGATGGAGAGCTTTGAGAAACATAATGTTCTTTAACCTTTTGGAGAGCAGTGTATATGTAGGGAATATAAAAGTGTGTCACAGCGTATGTATAAATCAGTAATTACATCCTGCACTAAGTCATTATGAAAAATATGCACATTGAAATTTGATATTCTTAAGACTGGCTTATTAAAAAATATATCTTGTCAAGTAGGGCACTTTAATGATAATTTCCACATACAGATTATTGCAGCATACAGAAGTTTAGTATCTTGTGGTCTATATTCTAATTCATAATTGTTATGTAATTTACAGAAAGTTTACATGTTTTGTTTAAAAATGTATCCAAATAGCTGAGTATCTCAATAATCTTAAATAACAAGTTTGAATAAACACTGATTTTGTTGTTTTTACATGCCTTGTTTTTATTTTAAAAAAGTATATTAGTGTAGAAAATATTTTTATTTATTTTTAGACACTAAAGCTGGATGTGAATTTTGTCGAAGTCTCATCAAAAGTTTTTAGAATTAAAACTAGAAATAAGATATTTATAATTATTTTTCGGCTATTTTGTTATGAGTTATTCTGTCGTGGGATATTTTGATGGATCATGATTTTTTTACTAATTGCGCAATGTAGTTATAATCATTAATATAACAGTTTAATGTTTAACTTGTATTTATTGTATTTTTGATATTCTGTACTTGAATTAAGTATAAATTAAAGGGGAAGTAAAGGGCACTAATCAGCATCAATATCGAGCATTTTGATGCCTGCTGGGTTTCTAGTATAAAAAGTTTCATCATTGCATAAATTGTGATAAAGCGCTTATACATAGGAGAATGCTGGTTTAGAAGAAAGCTATGATATGCATCATACTATCCTTAAGCCCAAAGGGCCAATTTGCCGAGAAAGGCTATTAACTTTGTTTTTGCATTTTGCATTATCCAATATAAAACAGCTTTTCACTTTTCAAATTGTTGCCAGCAAATAGTAGAGCCCTGCATTATATTCAAAGAAATTAAGTAATGAAGAATCTGTGTGAATGTATATATGTTTCTTGTATTGTGAGAAAAAAATGGTACCTTAGAGACATCAAATTCTGAATAACATAGTCCTCCACTCGAATAGGGGCATCTGGAAACCCAAATTTAGAATTTATTTTATTATCTGTTTCAGATTTTGTAAAACTTTAATGAATTTTTGATTAACAGACTCGACAATTTCAAAGCGAGCAGTGCCAACAGTGTCCCCCCTCCAAAAAAAACATTTTTATCTCCAGCGCAGGAGATTGTGTATCGAAAATTCTAAAGATATTCTCTTTTTAAATTATTATGAGATATTGCTGTTGAATTGAATTTTATAATTTAACTGATATAATGTTTAATAAATAAAGGTAACACGCAAAACGTTAAAAAAATGCCCATAATGTTAAATCTGAAATCTTTTATTTTTTTCAGGGGGAGGGGAGGTCATAGCCCAATTTTTATTTTATTTCCCCGGCTATTGCTTTTGCATATATTTTCTTAAACTTCATAACTGTCATGCATATAAACTGTGAATTTAAACGTTACTGACATTTTTTTAATGGTGAGCTTTGAAAAACATTCTGTTCCTTAACTTTTGGAGGACAATGTACTTCACAGTTACAGTATTTTGGATTGCAGGGTGCTTGCCAATTCTACCAGTACCAAGGAAAAAATTTCATTCATTTTAGGCACCATTAGAAAGGGAAGAAGGTTTCCCCCTCCCACCATTATGAAACACCCCAACAGAAATGTTTAAAAAAAATAAATTTATTTCCAAAAATACATATTCCTATGAAAAAAAAACTTGTAATTTATTTTTAGGCGACCAAAAACTAGTAATAAAATCTAAAATAGGTAGATATATGTTGCATGCAACTTTCTATTATTGCCATATAAATGCAGACAGGTGTGACTCAAGATGTTGATTACCGTATTTGACTGCATATAAGACGGACTTTTTTTCCTAAATTTGGTCTCAAAAAAGTTACCTGCATCTTATACGTGAAGGACACAGTTGTATACGTGAAGGTAATTCCGTTCAATAATTGTTTATTTGGCTTTTACGAAATGTGAGAACTAAAAGAAACCACGCTATTGAAACTTTTTTCCCTCGTGTGTGGCCATCTAAATAAGGTGCGTCTTCTATGCCGTCAAATACGGTAATTATACGAATCCAGTAATAGTGCACGGCTAGTAATTGCTGATGTAAAGGCCATTCATTTTCTGGCATTTTTTCACATTGGGTCCTCATCTGACTTTTGTAGTGTTCTGTTTTCTTGAAAGAGTGGAATAACTTAATTTTTTCATTTGATGATAAATTGATAAATGTCATTATTTTGAGTCAAAGACTTATTTCTTAATAATGAATGGGAAAAAGATTTCACAATACTTTTTACATGATTTTGGGTTTCATTTTTAACTCCACAAGATGCACTTGTGCTGCGCAAGACACGTGAACATGAACTGAAGAAAAACTCTCTAATTCAAACTTTAAACCCATGTTTCAGATTATTTTTATTATAAGCTATTATTATGAAAGAATGAAACACTAAAATATTTTACTTGCTTTTTGGTTTGCTATTTTGTTTGATGATGAATACTGATAGATTTAATGAGTAATAAACGATCATCTATAAAAGCCAACGATCACCTATATTGTATTATTGTTGAGAATCTAAATGCATTGATAAATACCTAAATTATGCACTGTGCCATTACCAGATGCTGCTAGAAGTCCAAGCATAACATTTGATGTGTAATGTTGTCCCATCTTGCATAAGCCATTGGATTTCAGATCAGTAGCCAAAATTTATGTGCAGAGCTGTTTATTAATTAATGTATACATTCTTCTTTTTAATGGAAATCAGTATTTGCTGTTAAATACAATTGCTTTTATTAGAGCGTGCGCTTGATTACATTTTGTTAATTTATACAAATATTAATTATAGTAATTTTAATGCTGTTTTATTTTATTTATAGTGAGAATTGTCATGGAGACTTCTAAGGACAATTCAGAATCTTCTGAAGATCAGACAGAAAATGATGATAAAAAGGTATGTGCTATAAAATTTCGGTACTTTTCCGTTTTGCCGGCGCAAGCGATAAAGTCGCCAATAATGGCATACAACCGATGCGAAACGGAATATTCTCGCTGGTAGCCTTTGACGCCTCATTTTCAAAACAAGTCGCAGCTTTTTCTTATCAGATTGATTGTTTCTTTCAATACTGGCATAAAATTACATAGAATTTTTATCAGATAGTTCATTTTTATGTCTAAGGCCATTTTCGGTAATTAAGTCAATTAGGATGCAATCACAGCGCTTACCCGAAGCCGAAAATATAGAAAAGGCAAAGTCAAGGGTTAAATTCATCAATTCTAATGAGAATGCATTAGTGAAGTAAAGCACTGCTGTTTTACATAATTTCTGAGTAAGCTATTCGTAACGAATTGAAATATTTCTTGCATTTAAACTTGTGTTCCAAATTAAGATTTAACTTGAAATTAATGCAGATAATTACTGAGAGCATTAGATTTTTGTAGAGTAGTTTACGTGAGATGAGATCGTTTGGGGTCACGTGATATGAACCGGCGAATCAGGATGTTGAACCATGAAAGCATAGTAAATTCTTAAATTAATGTCTTTTTACAAATTTATTGTCTTTATTTATTGGCTTTTTATAAAATTTTAAGCGATATTAAAATGTTTATGCCTTCAAAAAAAGAATTCTTAGAACTAACATTTTTTTAATATTTTTTATGTGTATGTTGTCGCCAATAAAGTCTGCTTGGCGAGATTTGCGCCGGCGAAACGGAAAAGTACCAAAATTTCTTTATTTCAAGCACTATAACTGTTAGGTTCTGAATATATAAAATAAATGCGTCATGTGTGTGATTTTATAGTATACAGTGGCAAAAAATATTCCATTTTGTTATGTGGTCTTTTTAATGTCATAAATATAATTTTGCTATTTATGCTGTTGATTTGAACAGAAATTCAGTTTCAGAATCTATCTACATTTACTGATATGAAAGTAGATCTGACAGCAACTATACAAAAATATATTACATACAGTAAACCCATGTCAAATATAAGGGCTATGTCATTAATACGTTGCACGTACAGCAAAATCACATTCAACAAAGAGATATTTTTATGAAAAAAAATGGGTTAAGTACTGTTCAGATTAAGAAGGTATGTATAATTTATAAAAACCTAAATTTTATTAAACTAAAAGAAAAAATGAAATAAATGTTAATTAAAAAGATTTCTGTTGCTGCTTAATGAGTAGGTATATGCTGCTATTACTTTTTAAAATAACTAGTGATTTTTGCTTGGGACAATGTCTGATGCATCTCATTAAACATTTCGTGACAAAGAATGAACTAACGCAAACCATCTAAACAAAAATTGAAAAACTTTAGTACCACCACTACATTTTACAATGGTTATTTTTCAATTTCTCAACAGAAATATTAAAAAAAATGTATATTTTGTCATTTGCACAACCTGTTGGTTATTTTATTAAATATACACACATAAAAATATTAGATTAAAAATGGCTTACGATTTTGATTATCAAAATTTAAGCTATAATACTTAATTCTAAAATTTATTGTGATATTTTGGCCTGTTTAAGAGAGATCAATTTCTTTATGTCTGGTCATGTTTCACTTAGCTTTAATTGTAATATAGGATCCACTTTTAATTTTGTTTTTCAAATATAACATGGAAGAAAATCCTTGTTCAAACAAATAGGTTGTGCAAAAAAGGAACAAAAGTTTAATAGCTTTATTTGAAATATCTTTAAATTCTTTTTTTTTTTTGGTTCAGCCTAAGGTTAGCAAGTGTGTTATTTTTTAAATCTTCAGTTAGAGTTCAATCACAGAAAATTTCTATCAATCGTTCTTTATTTTCACAAAGTTTTTTTAAATTTAATAATTAAAAATACTTTGTTTCTTTGTGTACCATCGTTTCTACATTCTTGCGTACCACCAATTGAGAATCGCAGCATTAATCTATTTCATGATCATCATTCTCGACTAATTCTTTAATTTCTCCTTCTTCAATATCTGAAAATCCTTCACTGCCTATTGCTTTTGTAATTTATACAATTTCCTTGACTTCATTTTCAATTGCTAGAAATCCTTTAATGATAGTCCTGTGTGGGGGAAGTAGTGACACCAACTCGCGTAGGTGACAGAGCAAATGATACATGATCATTTTCTTTGCCTTGTTAATAGCAATGAGAAAACCTGCTTCCACTAGCCAATGAGAATATTCTATACGCTTGATCTTGCCATTTGTTCACAGCCCTCTATCCTCTTCTTACATTCAGTATGAGAAATCTTCCTTTTAATAGTGATCATTTCCCCATCTTCTTGTCTCTAGTAAGAGAAACTATACTGTTAAACAGAGGAATTTATATTTGACTGTGCCAAATGTGATATCTTCAATGCAAATGCCTCTGTAACACAACAGTTGGTGAATAATGTGCTAATAGATGAAGCAGTGCAGGCTGTTACTAATACAATTTGTACCAATCAGTTTCTTTACAATTGCTGAAATAACTTCAGTTTGAGATGATTTGTTACCACAATAGCTAGAGAACCAAATCTCAAAATCCATTTATTCAGTAAGGCCTTTTATATTGGTTTAGCAGTTATAGTGGTATTGATATAACTTCTGCCGATCTAGCAAAACAAGGTACAAGATTTAAGCAATAATTATTACCTTCTGGTAGGAATAATGGTCCTGTTTAATCAGTATGGATATGCACAAATCAGATGTTCTTTTAAGGATTCCAAAGCAAATGAAATATTGTCTACAAAAGTGCGTGGGAAGGGTAAACTCTGAATTTTTCAGCCACATTATGTAGCCCAAATGGTGTTCCAGTGCTTTGTCTAGACAAGCGGTTGCCAAACTTCATAATGTCAGTGGCCACATTTTAAAATTTTGGAAGCCACTACTGCATTTTCCAAAAGTTGTACACAATTTCAAATTTACATTGTTTTAAAAGTAACGAAAGAGGTATTTATGAAAAGAAATATGGTATGAAATTAATTCATGGAGAATTTCAAATTTTTTATGTAGTTAATGTAGTGTGATATTAGATATGGTACAAAGTTTGAAATCTGGATATGCAATATTCAGAATGATCTAAAATCCGGTCCTTGAAAGACAACAACAAGCTTTTTTTTTTTTTTTTTTATGCATGCACATTTGATTCCTCTCGCGTAATAAAACATGTAGAAAGTTCCTATTCTTAATTTCACTTCACCACTAAATAAAATGCCTCTTTCCTTGTTATTGAAGAAACAGTCATTTTAGCATAAATTTGCATAATTCAATAATTTGATTTCGTAGGTGCATATCTCAAACCATAACATTCTACATTGAAACATCATTGATTTTACATCTCTGACACCAACCTAGCAAATCATTATTTATTATATTTTGCTTTCATCACTACATGTTAGTAATTGAATAACAAAAAGTATGGTACCTTTTGTGTTGTCATTACGCTTGGTGATAATTACAGATTCAAGTTAAATGTGCTTAGAAATGTTGACGAGGAAAAACTTAAGAAAAATTTCTTTCTATATTATAAAAATAGATTTTGTTAATGATGCTCATATGCCAAAAAGATTACATTTAGTGCTATTTGAAATAAGAATAACTGATTTGTTATTTATATAAACCAGAACCGGCACCAGAGCTCGTATGGCTGCACCGGGCACCAGAATTTAGACAAAAAAATTTTGTAATTTAGAGAAGCACTGAACAACAAAATTAAGGGATGACAAAATTTTTAGAAGTTGGGCAAAGCGTTGAGACTTAAAATTTAGAGGTGGCAAAAATTTAGAACTTAAGTTTGCCTTTGACCCCTCAACATCGACAGATTCATCTGGTGTCGCAGCCAATCATCACGGCTGCCATCAGACTGGCATCGTATAGTGTTCAGCGATGAATCCCACTTCACTCTTGAAGCAGGTGACCACCGTGTTCGTGTCTGGAGAGGACGGACCAGCAGTCCCAATCAGCCTTTGTTCTACAAAGGCATAAAGCCATAACCCCTGGTGTGATGGTGTGGGGCACTATTTCTAATGACAGCAGGTCATCTTTAGTCATCCTTCGTACATCTTTAACAGCTCAAAGATAAATTGATATCATCCTGCAGCCGGTTGCATTACCCTTCATGGCACGTCATCCTGGGGCCATTTTCCAACAAGATAATGCCAAGCCTCATATCTCTGGACTGTTTCCGTGCGGTTGACACTCTTCCTTGGCCAGCAGGGTCACCAGACCGATCACCAATCGAGCATGTCTGGAACATAGTAGGCCACCAGATTCGGGCAGTACAAAATTTCGCAGTTCTGGAGCAACAACTGATGATTGCCCGGCAGAATGTGTCGCAGGATGACATTAGGAACCTCTACCACTTCTTGCCTTGATGAATTCATTGCCACCAGGGGCAGTTTGACTAACTATTAATTTGAACACTCAATGGGGGTTGTGAGCCGTGAACAGGTACTACGACCTTGATTTTTTAATCATTTTATTATCTGTGTATGAGCTATATACATATTCAGTTTCATAAAAAAATAAATAAATAAAAATAAAATAAAAAACTTCCTTCATGGTGGTGCTTTTTTTTTTTTTTTTTTTCCAAAGAGTGTATATGTATATATTTATAAGTAAAGACATAAAGTAAGGAATTTAGAACCAATTTTACACAAAGACCAAACATTGAAATTCATGAGTAATAAATTTAAAAAATCCTATAAATGTAAAAAGAATTTAATAAATGTTAAAACTAAAATACTTCAAACTAGCAAAACCCTAATTCAAATATATATAGAATATAAAGAATATAAAAGAAGAGGAATTCATTCAACTTCATTGCCACTTCATCGGAAGGAAGAACCTTGAAATCAATTAAAATCTCCCTTTTATAAACAATCCTTGCTTTTCTGTATCCAGAATCAGCTGATGAGCCATTCCAATGTATTTTAATTATAATAGTTCATCTGAAATTCTGGCCCCTCCGCAAA